CCCGTGCAGATCACTAGTTTCCATAACCTGAGGGAACGCTAATTCCTTAGAAAGAAGGAAAAAGATGTATGCCTAAAAATTATTCTAATTCATTTATATCTAGATTTAGCCATCGATTTATTTGCTGAAATCTGTATAAATTACTTTGTTCATATATATTATCTGAAATAAATAATTTAAAGTATTTATATGGGGTTTAATATTTGGTTGAAGTGGAAAATGTATCAGTATAATTTGTGTTCAATTTATGGATATCACCTGTCTCCATTTCATTATTAGATAATAATATTATTTTCTGGATCTTCTATCTCGACTTGAAGATTATTAGATGTTGGAATTTATGAAGTTGAAGGAGAATCATAGTAAAGAGTGTGCAAAATATCTTCTACTTTGTCTGATTCATCGATGTTGGCTTCCGAAAAGTCTCCCTCGACTAGAATTAAATTATTTGGTACTATAAATTATACGTAATAATTTTAAAAAATATAATAAATTTAATACTACAATACGAGTCAGTGGACATAGGTCTTATTAACGTCAAATTAAAAATTAAAACCATTGGTATCTTTACAGAAAAAATTTTACAGGATATCGGATCGGCCTCCAAAAAATGGTATCGATACTAGTGATCTGCACGGGCCTAATTTTTTTAAAAAAATTTTTCCCGGCCCGGCCCGAACACGAATTTTTTTTAGAAACTTTTGCCGGCACGGCCCGAACCCGAATTTTTTTTAATTCATCCTAAAGTAATATTTATATTTTTTTTAGCTTTTAGTTTATTTTTTATATTTAAGATTTTGTTTTTCCAAAAAATATCTTAGTAAACAGAAAATTTATTTAGTATTTAATTATTTATTTAAAATACTATCAAAAATACCTATAAACCAAACAATAATTATAATGTTAAATTACACAACTATATATTAGATTCATATTTATAATAATCATTTAAAAATATCAAAGCATCAACATTTTCTGGTGACAGTCTATTTCTTCTTTCGTCTAATAACCTTCCAGTCTTTGAAAACGTTCTCTCTGAAGTTGTGGACGTTGCAGGAATTGCTAGAATTTTTCTAGCCAATTTTGTCATCTTTGGTAATCTAATTTCATTTTTATTCCACCATTTTAATATATCTTTTTCTGGATCTATATTTTCATTATTCTCTTTTATATTTAAATTCTTATAAATTTCAAGCTCATCTGTTTCTTTTTTTTCATATTCTTCCTCATATCTTTCATATTCATTGCCTGATATATAAAAATAATATAAATAGAACAATTTTAAATGTACCTTTAGATCTTTTAGGCGATTCCACAATTTGAGAAACGCCTTGAATATCCAAATCTATAATATCAATTGAAGGACAATATTCTTCAGAATTAATTATATTTTTGACTGAATTCTCTACTTCTAATATTTCCATTGATGATAACATTCTTAATTTTCTATATTTGGGGCATAAAAATATCGCTATTTTATGCAAAATATTGATTTTAAATTTAGATAATAAAAAAAATTTTAAATTGGTTTTTATTTCTTTTATTTCATTGTTTTGATAAAATGAATCATTTAAATCCTCGTGAAGAATATTATTAAAGCATAGCAGTACTTTATGTAAAGTAGGATTAATATCTCCTTCTAGTTCTTTAGTAGCTTTATCATAAGGATATAAAATATCAATCAAATTTTTCAAAATAGATTTCTCCAAGTTTTCCATTTTATTAATATCTCCCTTGAATGATAAAAAATTGACGATGTCATCATATTAGTTATAAATAGATTTCAACATATTTAATTTTGAATTCCATCTAGTTTCGATATCTTGTTGTAATGTTTTGTCTAAATATTGATTCATACCGGTTTGTTTAAAACACATGGTTAATTTTTTAGCAGAAATAAGGGTTTGATATATATTAGGAGCGATAATTTTCAAAGATTGTTCCTTAACCCTTTCGGTCGCGGTAGTGCAAATATAAAACCACCTTTTAACCTTTATATCTTCTAAAGGAGTTGATCATATAAAATGAAACCACCACGAATATATATTAAAAGATATTCTTTTTCATATGTTTGTGGAGGAGTTACTTTTTAATTTTTTTTTTCGCACCTTTATTTCAAAATACGTTTTTTACGGTGATTTTTCTTAAAATTCCAATTTTAATTATAAGTAAGTATATTTATCAAATATTTTTAAATATATATATTCCTCACTATTTTATCTATCTTTCTAATATTTATTTTTGCTCAAATAAATAATATTTATATATTATTTTGATCTTTTTAATGTGGTATATTAAACTAACCACTGCCACTTAACAACAATATTTTTAATATTTATTTTTTTAAATAATTGATAAATTTTGCCAACTCATTTCGCAATAATTTTAGCTTGTTATATATATGGATGATTATCTGGACATTCCATCTGAAGGTTCTTCGTTAGACAACTCATCCACTGATTCCGAAGATGATTATGAATCGGATACACGTTACCAAATTGATAATGATGATTATGAATCGGATACACCTTATCAAATTGAAATTGATCGATTTAAAAAAGAAAGGTATATATGCTACCGGAACACTAAACAAAAATAGGAGATACTTGCCCATAAAGAATATGGAAACAAAATTAAAAAGAGGTGAGTTTGACTGGAGAAGTGACAAAAATAATATAAGTATAATTAAATGGCGAGATAATCGTGACGTATTTATAATGTCCAATTATATTGATCCGAGATCAGTGGATACTGTGAAGAGAAAAAATAAAAAAGGGGAAGTATTTGACGTAAAATGTCCAATAATGATAAAGATGTATAATAAATATATGGGGTCTGTTGACCATTTCGACCTATAAAGTCTTTATATGAAATTTCGCGAAAGTGGCGAAAATGGTGGCTACCAATATTCTTTTGGCTGATAGATGGGGCGATTATCAATTCATTCATAATATACAATATTCTTACAGATAATAAACTCTCATCGAAAGAATTCCGAAGACAAATAATTGCTAGCGAATTGGCATACTGTAAAAATGTTAATAGGGATGATAATATTCATAATGATAATAATTATATATCAATGCAAAGAAAAAATAATAAACCTTATATCCTTCCAGAAATTAGACTAAAAAACTCAGCTCATCAACCTCAGGCAGGAACCTCACGAAGATGTACCTTCTGTAGTACAAAGTTAAATCCCAGAAGAACAAGGTGGTCGTGCAAATCATGCAACGTACCACTATGTCTAAATAAAAATAGAAACTGTTTCGAAAGTTTCCATAAGGTGTCAATGATATGAATTTAAAACCACCACCCTCTATGCTCCTTTTTATTCTGTCTAGGCATTAATGGCCTAATTCGAATGATAAACGACCAATGTAAGCTAACCCTACATAATTGGTATATTGACGACAATATATTAAACGGCCCATTGGAAAAGTGAATAAGGTCATAAGGATAATAAAATCTAGCAGCAAGAGCAGTTTGGGACCATGAATTAATCCAGACGAATGAATATTGTCCCCTTGTGATTATCAACCTTAACCACGACCTTATGTTCATACATAAAACTCTTTTACATAACTGGGATCTACACTAGGTAAAGACAAGTCCTTCATGAAGTTCCTTGCTAACATTTCACTGGAGATATCTCTGATGTGCTATGTTCTTTCCTACTGATTAACTACCTTCTAATTCAGAAGACTTTGTATAGACTCTGATCCTCACGAATCTTCCAATATGATGTCATCCTCGCTGCACATGAGCTTGAGATTAAATGCCTCACAAAAGAGATACACAACCTTAAATTTGTGTCTTGGCTACAGGCTACCTTTCTAATTAAATCTGGCGAGGCATAAGGTCGTCCCTTCTACTTTCCATTAGCCAGAGACCTGCAGAGGTATCATTTGCATGGCCCAGCCTGGATTTTTTTAAAATATATTACATTTATTTTTAATTTTTATAGTTAATACTGGTCATTTAAAATATTCGCCTTTAAAATATATGGCCCAGCTTGGGCGGACCCAGCCTTGGTATTTTTTTGAAAAATAAAATACTGCCTGACCCGGAGGTCTATGCCATTAGCGCATTCATATATTCTCGCCTGTCATGCAAGCCCATCTATAACTATACAAACCAACTGTTTATTTTGGCTTACCCCCCTTTTTATTTACTTATTTATATCATTAATCATATGACAAGGGGTTAATTATATTATTTGTGAGTTAAATATCATTTAAAGCTACTAAAAATCTCCTCCCTACACACCCCTCACTACTCCCCCCCCCTCCAATAAATACTTTTGAAATAAAGACTATAATTCAAAATAAAGGCATTATAATTTATAAAAAAGTGTTAACTTAAAGCTATTTTTATAAAAATCTAATATATTCATAGGACTACAAAAAGTGGACCTAAAGATTTCTAATAAAATTTATGGGTAAAAAACTCACCTAGTAGTGCCACCTCCTAGAAAAATCCTGGATTTCCCATGTTTGTAGTGTGGGTAATAATATTTTATTAATGATATTAAGGCGCGATTAAACAAAACTTAAAATATTAATTTTTATAATTTTTTACTTGTATATTATGTATAAGTATTTAGAGTGTAAAATAAATAAATATAAAAAAAATTATGTTGTTTTAAGTCAACATTTCTATATGTTCTCCAAACCCTGAATCTATTTTTTTATAAATTATATTCCTGTACCCCGACCCTTTTTTATCGAGTTCAAATTCCTGCTTTTGACCATATTTGACCTATAAAATATATAGTCCAGGTATAAAGTGTAGTCAGACTATCAGAATATTTTCATGGTCAAATATACAAGTCTATTGATCTAATGTATGTGAACCAAAATTAATTAAACCCTAATAATTACTCAAGACTGCAATATTTTATTTATAGTAAAAATCATTTATAATCAGGAGGTCTAGGTCACTAAAGAACTAATAAGAAGTGGTGGCTATTACAAGATCTAAAAATATAAGAGTAAAACCTGGTAGCTTATTGATATCCAGGCTGAGTTGACGCTTCTCGTCATATGACATGGGTTTGGCGTTGTCTTCGTCGTCACTGTCATACAGCAATGGCGGAATAAAAGAAGTGTTTAAGATGGTGGGAGTGGGCGAGGAATTGGAAGCGGTTTCCATAGAAGCGCTCCGCTTGCTGTTAACGTTTTTCTTGAGAGGCTGTAGAGGCCTATTAAATAAATTTTTCTAAAATTTTTCATAAATGCAAAATATAACCATACTTGAAACTGACAATGGAGTGACCATTTGTGGCAAATGTGTTAAGGTCAGTGGAATGCGCTAGAGAGGAGAAAGAGTAAGACAAAGAAGTCGCGATGGCGAGTGCATCTATAGAGCCGAGTGTGATAGTGGAAGACGTGAATTTGTTTTTGACGGCGACTGGGATAACTTCTTCTGCCAATGTTGTCATGAATACGGTGTCGTTCAGTCGTTCACCTTTAGATAAATCCGTAGATCTACTAACCCCGCCACTTTTTCTTGAAAGAGAAGAGGTAGAGATAGAAGCGGTTTTTTTAACGGAAGCGTATAGTGCTTGTTTTTTACCACCACCATGAGCCTTTTTAGAACCAGCACGTTTGCGAGAGCTACTTGTGGTGAGAATGTTAGGATCGTCATAAGGATGGAAGTCTTAACAATGTAATTATTTGGGTAAATATATTGAATAAGAAAAAAATGTCTTTCAATACATAAATAAAAATGACAGTCTCGCCTATTTTTAAGAATATTACAAGACTTCGTTTCTCACCCAAAAGGAATCATCAAAAAATGAAGTTTCAATTAAAAGGGAGAAACGTCTAATCATAAAAAAGGAAAAGTTCATGAAAAAGTGAAAAAGTCGCGTCCAAAAAAATATGGTTCGAAATTTTAATAACAACATTAGAAATGAAATAAATTTTGAGTGTTAACAAAATTTACATTAAATTTCTTTCTTATAATCATTTTATTAATCAAAGGATTATATTTTTAATTAATTTTATATAAAAAGATGAATTGTAATAATCTGTTTGAGGAAAGCTTTGTCTAGTTCGCCGCATATATCTATTAACTTCTTGCCAATTATTGAAATAATTTTTAGAAATCTGTCACTAAAAACACAGTTAGTTTTAAAAAAAATTTTTAATTTTCTTTTTAGATATTTTTAGTGTTAAGAAGAGCACCGAAACTGAGGTATCGGTATAAGCCGATAACCCAAAATAATAATTTTCCCATATAACTTTTTTAAAATTAATCTATTATGCCATCATTTAAAAAAGTTGATCAATAAATTTATAAACAGATAATAAAGCATCTAAAAGTAAAATTTAAGTCTATTGCATACTGTTTATTGAATGCCTATATTTCATTTTTATATAATAACTTAAAACATTAAAGAAATTATTTCTTTTCCTATCTTTTTACTTAAAATTTTGTTGCAGATTTGACTTTATGGGGAATAAACATATGAAAAAGTAAATATGACAAGCTAAATTAAAAATCAAGAACATTTTTATGGCCTGGAATTTTTCCTTCGTTGGAATATACCCTTTACCTTATTATTCAAGACTTTTTTATTGAAACCTTCAACCAGACCCTTTTATTTTTTTAAACGGAAACCCAGTATCAATGTATAAAGAAATAGTTAAATTAGTAAAGAAATAGTTAAATTAGTAAAGAAATAGTTAAATTAGTAAAGAGCTCATTGATTTCTTTATAAATAAATATATCTTTATGATACAAAGTAAGGTCAACCTGGTAAAGGCTTGTGAGATGAGACGGGAGTGACGTCCTGGAGATTTATCTGCTGAGATGGATGATAGCCGAGGGACGTCTTGTGGCTTATATCAATGGCTGAACTTTTAGCATTTTTTTTAAAATGTGAAGTAATTGTTGTGGAAGAGTTAACAATCAAAGGGTAGAGAATCGAGATGTTAGAAGGGTTCTGAGACTGCGGAGTATCTTTTTCACTGCTACTTTTTTTGTCCTGGCCTTTTTTCTTTTTTTTCTTGTGTTTTGATGTGGCTTTGGCTGTAAGGGCGGCTAGTTGTTCGTGGATGCTACGAAGCTGTGAAAATTGGCAGAAAATCAGTAATAATCAGGGGGCGGAACACAAAAAATAGGTGAGATAATCATTTTTATCTAAATTTTTCAAGAAACATCACACCAAAAATTAAAGATAAAGCAAAATTAGGTCACACCTGAGCCTGCAATACAGTCAGATGCTTCTGCTTCGAAGACGCGCTGAAAGTTGATGATGATGATGATGATGATGTGGAAGAAGACGCGGAGGACAGGGGAGGAGTATGCGGACGTGAGCGAGGAGACGAATATGGAGAGGCACTTCCTGTGCTTCGATTGATATTGTAATATCCGCCAGTGGTGGAGGCATCATCCCCATCCATTGCTCTGAAAGTAGACTCATCTGGCATCTTGGCATATCGTTTTTCAAAAACATCCTGCACCACAATATTCATAATAGGTTTTATATGAAGATCGCTAATTAAATTATAATTTATATAGAAGCTTATTTTAGACGAACTTCCTTAAGATAAATGATACTTGGCATGATAGTTATTTAAGTTGTGCAATTTAATAAATTTTAAAACTCTAGCTCAACCCGATCAAAAGATATAAGCCTTTAAAGTTGGAAATCACACAAATCAAGATTTCATTAAACTTCATTTATTTCAAAAATATTTAGACAAATTATAAATTGTAAATCATTTTGTAGCCAATAAGATTCCACATGAGAATTTTAAAAAATCAAAAATAGAGTGTTTTCTGATTTCCAGCATATTTTTTAAAAATAAGGAAATTTTTGGATGTGTTCCCTAATTTAACAATTTTATATAAATATTTATAAACCATTCCTACTTCGTCATGCACTGCCAAAGGGTCATGAGCAAAATTAAATCAATTAAAACAAGACTTCGTAGTACCATGAAAGATCTATTTCTTAATAATTTAACCATTTTATCAATGGAAATTTTTTTATTTAAATAATTAAATAACGATGAAATTATAAATTTTTTCACTTTCCCTTCCCCTAATTTGTCTAAATTATTAATTTAAAAATAATATTTTTAAAGTATATTATTTTACATTTTATTTATATTATATATTAAAGATTGATGCAATAATTATTTTTAAAATTTATGGGGTCAAAAAATAATTAACTATATTTTGCTTCCATCGCTCATAAAGTGTAGGGGCTACTGTTCGAGGAAGATCCAAAATGACGTGCATGAAAAGTGATAATGGATTAAATAAGAAAAATGGATCTCAACAGATAGCAATGTCTAAGACCATAAAAATTAAAAATTGGGATCTAACCATTCTCATATATTTTTCTTATGTCATCCGTTATCACCTTTCATCCACGTGATTTTGGGTCTTCCACGAAGCCTTGATCTCCTTATTTCATCAAGGTGCACTTCTTTACTAAATTAACTTTCATCTTTCGTTCAATATGTTAAACCATCTCAGTCTATTTCTTATCATCAACACTCCTATCGTTTCTCTTTTTTCACAGTCCTTGCTTTTCTCTCCTTTAAAGATACTCCATACATCCTTCTAGCTATTCTCATCTCCTTACTTTCTAATTTAATTTCGTATTACACTTACATTGATCATGTTTCGATATCATAATCTATATAACTTCTCACACAGCATACTTAAATTTTTTCGATAACTTCAAGAGAGATGTTTTTATTTGCTAAAATAGAGGACATCTCTTATAAACTTCTTCCATATTTATCTGATCGCCTTGAGAAGCAGCAAAATTAACACCTCCATCTATGCTTAGCCTGCCACCCAAATAAAAAAATTTTCCCACATTTCACAAAATTGATTCATTATAATATCCAATCCACCGTTACCTATGATATCATCATTATGGGCCCCTTTCACAAGCATATACAGTTATATAACAAGCCAACTATCTTCAAATTAGATTGAATTTCTAGAAACCTTTTTTCCACAGAAACCACAAGGCCAAGTCCGAAATTCTTCCACGGTGTCCCCATAAATCATCAGCTTTGTCTCTTCTGGATTCATTTTTAAACCCTTTGTGTTCATAGACATCTTCTATCATTAATTTTATTCTTCAGTTCTTCCTCATTGTTTGATAAGGTCATCAGCATATAATAGCTCCCATGAAAGTCTTTTCTATAGCCCCCACGATCATTAATAAGGTAAATAATAACTGGGTCAGAATGGATCCTTGGATACTTTTAAAATCATTCATTATCTCTATGGTTCATCCAGACTGCGGTTGTGTTCCTATATACTACACAAATTCAAAATAACTCTTTTACCAATCTTTTCAAAGATTTTGTACGCAGTTATATTTTGAGATTTGATTATAATAAATTAAGTTTAGTTTCGATTCCGATAATGATTTAATAATCTAGATCACTAATTTCCGACTTATGGCAATTTATAGAAAATTATTTTAATTCAAAAATGCCGTTTTTTAATTTAGTGTTTTATTAGTATTTGAGGATTGGCTTCGTTTGAACATCTGCAAAAACAAGGTCAAACATTTCACAATTATTATTAATATAAAATGTCCAGTCCAATTTCATTTGATCAAATTAAACACAGGATAATTCTTAATTTATGTGAAGAAGGGATGAATACTACCGCTATAGTCGAAAAACACAACCTAAGCAAAGAAACGAACGGAAACAATATTAATAAATTAAAAACTCTACCAACAATTAACCAAAGAAACGATAAAAATTTTGCACAGAAATATAAAGATTTAACCTTTTACCAAACGAGTTTAAGTTTGTATGAGAGCCAAAAAAATCCTGTTTGTCTAACCTAACGGTTAAAATCCTAAATCAAATTTAAAATTATTATGATTAACAAAATATTTTATCCTATCTTAATAAAGCGTTTAATATTAAATTGCACCCTAAAAGTAAAAACCGGTTATTTCTGAATTTGGGTAGTATAGTGTGATCACTACTATTCTTTTACACCTTATTTTCTCAAGACCCATCTAGTAACCCTGCGACATCCTATCAAACGTCTTCGCAACAACAAAAGCATAATATAGTTTCTTTACCTTTGCTAGATACTTTTCCTGTATCTGTCTAACCACAAAATTATATCTGCTGTGCATTTCCTAGGTGTAAAACCAGACTTCATTTCATAGATTTTCGTTTGTTCCTTTTCCACTTCTCTTACACTCTATCAACTTCATAAAATATTCCAAAAGTTTAATGGCTGCATAAACCCAGCAATCTAAAGGATCACCTTTTACTTTTTCTTAACTTATTCTTTGCAAACTCTATAGCCAGGACCGTCTTTCTACATGAACAGTTAATATCATTATCCCATGCATTCTCTCCATACTAGTTTTTCCAAGTAAGTCTTCCAGATATATTATAATATTATATGCATTTATGAATATATTCTATTATATTTTAATGATTAAAAACAAAAATTAGTCCGAAATATCTTCAGGATTTTACTGGGAAATATACTTCTACCAATAGTATAATAATAATCTAATTTGTATGCAATTCAAAAAGATCCAAGAAGACCCCTTAATTTAACACTAGATGAATTACAGCTATTCAATGGTATTCTCTTTTTATGTGTATAATCTCTTTATCTCGAACCTGTTAATATTGAAAGTAACTGCAGTAACGTGGTTTGACAACCGATCAGTTAATTTACTGAGCAGCTTTGTGGACCCCATCCAATATCAGATGTTTAACGATTTGACAGTAAAAATCGACAAATACCCACTCTCAAATGTCCTGCAATCGTAAAAATTTATATATATGGACAGTGTCTTATTGATTCGGTAATAGCGCTTTATAGAACATTTAAAATCCCGAAAATATATAAAGAAAAAAGTAAGGTGAAAAATGTTAAAGTGAAAATGTGGGGTGTCTTACTACTAACTAATAATTGTTTTACAATTTTCATCAAAACTCAAAAATATATATCTCATCTTTTATATAATTTCGATTATTGATTAATAAAAAGTGTAAATATTACCCATTTATGCGCATTGTGTATTCCAATTGACATACTGTAAAATACATAGAAATATCTAGAAAATTCTAAAAAAAATTGACATGTTATTTACATCATAAATATAGATAGTAAAGAAAAAAAATGAGTATTATAAAATTTTCATTTCAATTGGCATAGAGTGCAATAGAGAGAATTTAATGAAAAACGATATGCACGATTTTAGACTTTAAAAGAGTATACTCTTGGATCTGCTGGTTAAGCTAGAGTTCTACAATTTTAATTTTAATAAAATTTAAAATAGATCATAAACCTACCATGACAAATTTCATTTATTTAAATCTAGTTTTATAAGATTTGTTGGAACCAAATACAACGTATATAAATTAGTACTGTGAAGTATTATTGCATACAACTATGAAAGATAGATATATGATTATTTATTTGGTGAATATATATAGGTTACTCTTAAACTTTAAATAAAAATAAATAATGTTTTTTTGTTTTAGATGTAAAATTCCATTACAACCATTAATAAAATCAAACAATTACCTGTAACTTTTTGGCCATAGCCACTACGTCATGATCGGGTGGGTTGTATTTGTAACAATTGGCGAATATTAAGCGGACGTCATTGACAAAATCAGCAGGGTTTTTGTAATCTCTAGCTTCGACCTTTTTCTTCAAAAATAATTCATGTTTTAAAAAAATTAAGTTTAAGTGCGTGAAAATGATATCAGGAGAGAAAGGCCAAATTAGTAACTTATATTTAATAATATAGTAAATTTGAAATTACTTTTACAGTGCTCAGGTCCATAGGTATTTTAATTATATCGTGATAATCTGGGAGATTCAACTCCAAAGCATCTACTGGAGTGTAGAATGGCCAAGTGTATGCCTAATAAATTAAAAACTCAGAAAATATAGGAAATCCTGGTTAAAAGAATATTTTAATGTAAAATATAAATAATTATTTTTAAAAATGTCTTCTATGGCTTATTACATGATGTTTTTTAGAAAAGAGATCTTTGATTAAATCAGCGCAATATTTCATTTGAACGGGCAATGAAATCAGGTCTCCTTTCTTCAAATGCTGATAAAGAAAACATAAAAAATGTAATAAAATAAAGCAAAATCAAAATAAATTATAAAAACTAAACATTAATACACAAAGATATTTCATGTAAATATTTTTTTTTCAATGAATAAGATATAATAATTTATAAAGTTTAAAACTTGTTGAGAATCAGGCAAATCTTTGGAGGGTTTTTTGATAGCCCTTCCACTCTCCCTCCTGCTATTAGAATTCATGTAATCGGACCCTAAATGGTCGAGAGGCATCCTATAATCCATTTTCAGGATCGGTTCAGTTGTATCACTTAATAGTAAGTCGAGGTTGGTTATGGCGTTAGGTGTAGTTGTGTCAGCTTGGCATTTGATCCCACGTTTCTGAGATTTAAAGAAGTGAATTATTAATTATTACATCAACTAAAGTGTAAAACGCCCCAGAGATCACTGCTTAAAGGTTATTCTTATTCGGAACATTTTACCGAACCTGTTATATCATATCAATATGGTTCGAAACCAATGGGTAGGTCACCATGTCAAATGGGCAAGAAAATTGAGATTTTAGACCGACCCAATTTGACTTTTTGAAAATTTGTTAAGCAAAAAAAGTTTAATGTAATTTAGAATATTTTAGACTCTAAATTTTAAATTTTTGTAGTTATTTTGTGGCAAAGTGGCAAAAATGATTAATTTTTACTATTATCAGCCTTTAATCAATTATTAATATCTTAAAAGCTACATGACCGTAATTAGCAATTTTTTTGAATTTTCCAATTTCCGGCCATTTTATTTAATCTTATCTTATCTTATCTAGCACGTTGGTCATAGACCTGCCCAAAATGAGCGAACGTGAATTTTATGAAGGCCCACCCTTCATAAAATTATGCCGATTTTTTTTCTCAAGGATACCAACAAACCTTGTACCCAGTTGTAGTTTAACTAAATGAGTGGAATTTACCCTTTCCGATATTGTAATTGTAATTTATAAATTAATAATATAAAGACATATATTTCTTATTTGTTTTTTAATCTTGAATAGTTATATTCATGATAAGGAATTAGTTAAGAATATTTGAATCCATAGACATCAAAATTCCATTTCATTTGTTAGGTTATATTCTTCCAAAAGATGAACCGGAAAATCTTCGCCATTTGGGATGGATAGATGAACAGGGTTGCCATGTCTCCCCCCATCAGTGGGAGTCTCCCACAATTTTTTAGTTTACCCACATACATCTTACTCCCTCAAAACTCCCACAATTAGAAATCTCCCACAAAAAGCTCCCACAATTTTTTAATTTCTCCCACAATTTTTTTTTAAACATTTTAATGTTTTTAATATATAAATAATAATTTTGAGAGAAAGTATTTGATTATTTTTATATTAAAATAAATTTTAAATATTTATTCAAAAAATATGTCTAGTTCTTTTATTTTATTTTTCCGCTCTAAAATATATTTTTTATAAAATTATCCACTCGACATTTTCAAAATTATCATGTAGTTCAACATTAACAGAGCTATCTGTCATCACACTGTGGGTCGAATCTTTTCCCTTAATATTTAACGACTCCAAAATAAGTGCTAACTTTACTTGAGGTAGGACAAAAATGAGCAAGGTTATCACAAATGTGTCAGGACCTTCCAAGAGGTCAATTCTAGACGATTTGAAAGAAGGACATCCATATGCTATTTTAACAGACGCATCAAATAAGAAAAATATTAAAACATTTCCCCTGATCCTTTGCTATTTCAATAAGAATAAGGGCATTTCTATAAAACTATTGAAATTTTTTTCATCCGATAGTGAAAAATCCAACGATATAGCTAACCACATAATGGTAAATTTAGCTGATTCAGGGTTATCAATAAGTTGCATGTCAGCTTTCTGCGCTGATAATGCCTCTGTTAATTTTGGCAAAAATCAAAGTGTATTTACCGAATTGAGGCAGCACAATAATGAATTAATACCAATTGGCTGTATATGCCATATACTGCATAATTCTTGCAAGAAGGCAATGAATGTACTATCTGTAGATGTCGAAGTAATTGTGATGAAATGTTTTAACGAATTTATTTCATCAGCTAAAAGAGTCACTGAATTAAAAGAATTGGTGGTCTGATTTGGAATGGTGTGAGTTGTTGCGATATGTACCTATCAGGTGGTTATCATTAATACCTGCCATCGAGAGAATTTTAAAATTTTACGAACCCTTAAAGAAATACTTCTTAAATAAAGATTTTAAAAGCTGTCCTAGAAAAATTTTTTCGAGGATGAAATGTCAGAAGCATATTTGGGATTAGTTTCACATGTAGGAAATCTACTTCATGTAGTTAATATTCAGTTGCAATCAGAAGATTCTTTATTGATAAAGATTCACAAAATCATGCTACAGCTCTGTTCATCTCTACAGTTAAAAATAGATAATAAATTTTATGGCGCTATTGCTAAAAATATCATATTAAAATGTTCAAATATTACTATAATTAACGTATTTTTAAATGAAGCAAATATTTTTATTAAGACAATTTTGGAATATTTACAATCAAGATTTGATTTTAATAACTCTATTTACAAGTGTATAAATATTATGACTTTGGAACAGAAACCATCATTTGATGGTTTTTGTAATTTAATAAATATATTAAAATTACCGCTAGACATTGAAGCCTTGTTTGAAGAGATTGTAATTTTTTCCATTTTTTATGATTCGCCAGAATACTTAAAATTAGATGGTCTAAAAGCAGAGGAGAAATGGGTAAAATTTTTTCGTAATAACGATAAATCCCCATGCTTGGAAAAAATTTGCGAGTATGTTTTCTCCTTACCTCATTCTAATGCCTCATCGGAGGCATTTTTAGCCTGATGAGGACTACCTGGAGAAAGGAGAGAAATCGAATTGCTTTAACATTAGAGGCCGAGTTAATGGTTAAACAAAATTATAAAATGTCATGCCAGGAGTTTTATAAATATCTTAATAACGACGGTAAACGTTTAGTTCCATTATTTAAATCTCAAATAAAATATAATTAACTATAACTATTTGACTTTCTGTATTTTATAAAATCTTATTTATACATTTGCATAAAATCAAATAAATTTATTTTTTACATTGTAAAATTAATATTTTGAATATTTTAGCAAATCATAAAAATAAAGAAGCATTACAATCTCCTCAAACATGACATCATATTAAATCTTATTAATAATTATCCGATAATAGTAATAATATTCTTACTTTGGTATTTCTGCAGCATAATTTAGTGAACCTTTATTAAATTATATTCTTCTGATTGCAACTGCATATTAACAGCATATAGTAGATTTCCTATATGTAAAATTCCTAAATATACTTGTGACATTTATTTTTGAAAATTTTTTTCAAAATATTATGACAGCTTTTATAATCTATTTATTTTTTAATGGTTTGTAAAATTTTAAAATTCTACGATGGCGCGTATTAGGAGGAACCTGTCAACCAACATTATGCTGACTCAATTCTGTAAATACACTCTGGTTTTTGCCAAATTCAATGAGGAATTATCAGATCAGAAAGCTGCCATGCAATTCATTGGTAATGTTAAATCTGCCATATTTACCATTATATATGGTTAGCTATCTTTGGATATTTCATATCTGGAGAAAATTTTTTTAATAGTTTTATTGAAATGACATTAATTTTGTTGAAATAGGGGAGGATCAATGGAAATGTTTTAATATCTCCTTATTAGATGCATCTGTTAGAATTGCATATGTTTGCACATCTTTCAAAACGTCAAGAATTGACCTTCTGGATTTATATCCTAAAACATTGATGATAGCCTTGCTCATTTGTGTTCTACAAAGTATACTTTTCATTTATATTAGTCGTTAAATATTATGGGGAAAGATTCTACGAACATTGTGATGTTAAGTAGCTCTCTGAATGTTGTACTGCATGATAGGTATTTACCATTTCCGCAACTGTAGTTGCATCTGTATTATTTCTTATTTTTGAAGAATATTTTTGTTTTGCAATAGATGTTGATAGACTGCCCTGTACTGATTTATGCTTTGAAGATTTTTGATGCCTCAAAATATCATATTCCCTTCCCCCATTGTATTAACTAAATACTGTAGAACAACTTCCCCGCATTGATTATAATTATTTTTTACATTGTAAATTTAAAATTGTTTGTTTTTTTATAAAATCTTATTTATACATTAGCATAAAATATATTTTTTTACATTGTAAAATTACAATTTTTTTATAAAATTTTATCTTGTTTACATTCTTTTGTATTTAAAAAAGATCGTTGGTTATTATTTTTAAACAAAATTAATATATTATAATAAATCAATATGTTATTTTAATAATAAAGATAGTATTTAAGAAATTTTGTGTCGTACTATAATTACCTATTTTGAAAAATAGTTGCGTATTTTATTTTGGAAAATAGTTACCTATTTTATTTTGAAAAAGAGTTGGATATTTTATGAAAAATAGTTGGCTATTTTATTTTGAAAAGCTATTTTATTTTAAATAGTTGGCTATTTTATTTTGAAAAATAGTTGGCTATTTTATTTTGAAAAATAGTTGGCTATTTTATTTTGAAAAATAATTACCTATTTTATTTTGGAAAATAGATTCGATTTTATATTTATAAAAAATAATAAGCGGATAACTAAGTCAATTCTCCTTCGGCCCGCAAAAATTTTTTTTTTAGCAATTTTCATATTTCTCCCACAATTTTTATATTACTCCCACAAAATACCGAATTTCTCCCACAATTTGAGAATTTTGACCTGGCAACCCTGTAGATGAATTAAGATTAAAGACTATTTCTGGAAATAATACTTTATTTTATAAAAAATTTACTAATCTTTTATATTTGTAAATAAAATTCAGTCTTGATCTTCTCAAATAAAAAAAAACATTAGATAAGTGTATAATTATTTGCCCAAAATGGAGCGTCTTTGTATAAAATTACATATTAATCAGTTTTCAATGTTTTCTTAAGATATATGATATAATTTAAAGGATTATTCATCTTACACGTGTAAACTTTAATCAGTAAAAGAAATTTGTGAATCAAGTAAAAAAATCCTACACCTTATAAAATTGAAGATAATCATTTACATAATGAATAATATTTAATTTTTTTCCAATTACAGAAATAAATTTTCTTTAAAAAAATTCAATTGTTTGATTAATCAATCAGTCAATCACACGCGGTCACAGAAAATTAATTCTCAATTCTTTGCAATTATATTTTCATCTGTAAAGCCATCCCCGTGTTGGCGCAAGAATTTTCGCACATCATGTTGATGGTTATAATTTTTTTATTTGTCCTGCTCGTTAATTTTATGACAAATCCGCCCTGGCTATTAAATTCTAGTA